TTGAGGAGGATACCTGACGTACCTACACTTTGAGCGGTGGTAATTAAAGTTGACTAACAAAACTATATATCATTATCTGCACCATCATCATTATCATCAGCTCGTTTAGTCTCAACTGCATAACACGATACTTTAATTTGTCAGAGGCAAATGGAGCATACGGCCTACACTTCTCACGCTGTCCAGTATTTGAGACTTCCTATGAGGGGCATGAACACAATGAGTGTGCCCACACTCATGCCCGAATGAGTGTGCACACACCGAATGGTTGCCCAACCATTCGGTGGACCGACGATCTAGTAAAGATTGTAGAAAGCTCCTGGATGGGCAGCGCAAAACCGTCTTGGAAATCCTTAGGGGAGGATTTTGTCCAGCAGTGTTATTTGGCTGAAATTAGGCAATGGGCAGGGCACATAGTACGCAGAACTGACGGCAGATGGGGCAAGGTTCTGGAGTGGAGGCGTATGACGTACGGGAAAACGCAGAGTAGGACGTCCACCCACAACAACCTCATGGAGGTAGTAGATAGGCGCTGGATGAAGGCCGCTACCAACTCAGCAATGTGGAAATCATGGGGTAGGCCTATGTTCAGCAGTGGACGTCATGTGGCTCAATTGATTATGAACGAACGAAGTCGTGGGCAATGTAATCGAATAATAATCGTAATCGAACGCTTGTCGCATCGCATACAATCATCTCATCATAGCATCGTGATTATGACAATAAAGTCACCTTGTCAACTGGGCCAGTAATTGGCTATTACCCATACCTCATTTGCCTCATTAGCTATTCCATTGTTAGGTGTTGCATCGTCGGAACACNCGTCACACTAGGGAGGGGGGGGTCTCAGAAATGTGACCACCTGTGACAAGGACGGAGGGGGGGGGGGTCAAAAAATCATGAAATTCGTGTGACGTACTTTATGGATGGCCCCTTTGCTAAATTCACATTCATCAAACGCGCGTATTCTGAACTAGCGGCCGCCCGCGACTTTGTACGCGTTGATCCCGTTTTACCCTAAGGGGGTGGAGTTTCGGAAAATCTTTTCTTAGCAGATGTCTACGTCATAACATCTATCTGCATGCCAAATTTCAGCCCGATCCGTCCAGTAGTTTTGGCTGTGCGTTGATAGATCACTATGTCAGTCAGTCAGTTCCCTTTGAGATATACATTTAGATTTTTACAAGAACTATCTGTACCTGGAATGTCGTTTGTCAAAATCCTTCTCAAGTCTTCTTATTTATGTTTGCTAAATTCACATTCATCAAACGCGCGTATTCAGATTTTTAGATTGGAATGCTCATCCTCCTCCACTCAAGCATGAACTTGATAAGAATAGCTCACATTTAAATAACAAATCAGAACGCTCAAGCTATAAATTTCAGTTCAGAAACCGGGCCATAGTCGCTAAGCTGTCTGTAAATAGTGAGAAATTTAATAATACTTCGTTTATTTTTCGAAATACATTAACAAAAACTTTCTGCCAGAACATATTTATTTATGTTATTTATTTAGTAATTTTAAATAGATGTATTTTCACACAATAAACATGTTTTCACTGATTCATTGTCTCAGAATAAATACGACATTGCATCATTAGTATTTTTTATACTAGTAGCGCTATCTTAGCTGCTTTTTTGTAATGTTTCTTGTTAAATATATTATGAACTTGTTTAATATTTAACATTTTTGTTTACAGCGACAATGTGAGGAGAGACAAGGTGAAACAGATCTACAAGGAAGCTTCGATACAACAGGGCGAGCTGAACAAACTAAAACGAATGAAGTGAAAATAGTGCAACCTTGTAAATATACAATTTTATGTAAGCCAGTCTTTTTTTACTACCTTATCAGCGAAAGTTGAGGCGAATATTTACTTACAGAATACACTACACGTTTAAGTTCAAATATCAAATACACTAATGCCCAGTCTGTGAGCACGTAGAATTTTGTCCAATGACCCCAAGCTACTGACGGGCGCCTGCAGTGAGTGTGCGAGCGCGACAGCAACATTACGCGCAAGCGATAAGGATGGGTAGCTTGGGTTCATTGGACAAAATTCTACATGCTCGCAGTCCAGACTATAGCTACCTCCCTCGTCTTAAATGTCTGCAAGTGAGACAGAAAGCACTTGATCCGATACGTAAAACGTATGACAGCGTATACATACAAATCATTGCTTACGGCCTCAACTTTTGTTGTGTGACCAAATCTTTATGTTTTATTTCTGTACAATATATTTTGGTATCCATCAATACGCGATACGCCTGTAAAAAGTTCTAAAAGTTTTTTTCGTAATTACGTTTTTACACTTCTCAATATAATTTTAGTCCTACTGATTGTATTATGTTGAACTCACTAGTAACTTATATTATGCTTCTTTCGCGTACTAAATGTAATTCAGATGTACTAAATGTAATTGCTATAAAATTGATGAGATCAAAATCCGTCCAATATTGGTCCGGAAATGTTCACAAACTATGAACTGTAAAACATTGCTATAGCCTAAAAGTCAGGCGCGTCGTGTTTTAGACTTTGGATAGACATTGCCGTTGAGCAGATTTAAGGCGCTTTGCCTATCTTAAGGTAAGCTGTCTCAAACCCAGAAGTCCCGGGTTCGATTCCAAGCGGGGATACTGCTTGGTTTGTTCTTAGTTCGTCTGGCTAGCAACCATCTTACCTACAACGCGGTCGAGGCGTACCTGATGGCCGTGACATCACATCGACGCTCTGTACGGCTAACACGAAAAACTTGCGAGTTCGAATCGTTTGCGTATTCGAATCGCCATCAAAAGATTTAGTACGAAAACTACAACAGCACCCTTGTGAACGTGTCGTAAAGTGAACTTAGTATGAGAAATGGTTGCACGAAACTTATTTGGAGAATCTAAATTGTCACGTTATCGTTTCATTCGAAGCTTGAGTATCGAATTTTGTCGAATACACAAACGATTCGAAGACGAAAGTTGTTCATGCTAAAGCCCGGCTTGTGAGCACGTAGAATTTTGTCCAATGACCCCAAGCTACCCATTCTTATCGCTCGCGCGTAATTATATTGCTGTCGCGACTGTGCTACGGGCGCGCGTAGTGAGCGTGCGAGCGCGACAGCAACAATTACGCGCGAGCGATAAGGATGGGTAGCTTGGGGTCATTGGACAATATTCTACGTGCTCGCAGACCAGACTATAGAGGTACTGGTACGTATGCATGGGGCGAATGCGGGGTGGTGTACGGGTAAGTGGGAGAGAGACTGGCATTCCAGCAAGTTAACTCGATTTGGATTGTACCACCCGTATTCATAAATGATTCGAACGAATTCGAAGACGAACGCACAGCGTTGAATAGAGCTCTGTGATTGATTTGTGTGTTACTCAGCCATGTTTTGTCTGTGAATAGCTTTTTGGGACCCTGTGCGTCCACGCGCACTGTGAGACCTCATAGTAATGTTTGTGAATACGGGTGTAAGTCTGTCGCCATAACAACAATGTTAAGATCGTTGTGTTTTGGCAGTTGGAGGGCAAGAGTGCCAGTTCCGTGGTTGAGGATTCGTGAAGTCGCTTCCACCTTCAGCTTGGTCATCAAGTTGGTGAGATGCAAGCCAAGAACTTTTCCATAGTAGGTAAAAAATTATGCAATTTGTTTTTATTATCTAAAAAGCAGCCTTGGGGAATATTAACGTCAATTAGGCTGCTATTGCCTAAAATGATGATGATTTTGAAATAACCTTCAAATTAATGGAATATTAACCGGCTGAAGACACATGTGGTTCTCTGTACTCAAATGTCACAAGTCTGGTCCACTTGTGATTTTTTTGCGTCTACCTTTAGTGCACTATTAATTTTTTGCGCTGTATTTAGGTTTATTTATGGTATTACTTGGGGACCAGTTTTTTGATCCGTGAAGAACTAATAGTCAAATTGTATTAATGGTTAAATATTAACAAAATACTTATAAACTAATGGTTGAAATTGACTAAAAGTAATTGTATGTAAAGTACTGTTTATAAACGTTTTTCTGATATTCAACCATTAGTCGCTTAACACGGATCAAAAAACTGGCAATCTAAAGCTGGTCTGACGAAGGAGGCGGAAAAAAAATGTTTAAAATACATACTAATAATGTTTTTATTCTCAATGACGAACTGGAGGTTTGTATAGAGACGTCATACAGTGTTAATTACACATTATGCTCCTGCGAAGCTAAACACGTGTTTACTTTGCATGTACCTATAGGGTTCTGTATTAGGGATGTTTTGGATATGTGTATGTAGTTCCGGTTACGGATATTTTTTAATTTCATATTTAGATATCCGAAAGTTTCGGTTACGGATATCTATAACATCCTAGTTCTGTATAAAAATCATTTTGATGTTGCGTAAACATTTAACTCGACAGTCATCTTTGGGTTCTGTATATTAAAACAACATTTCGTTGCGTAAAGATTATTATTATATGGTCCGTCTTCTATTTGCCCAATCGTCGGAAGAAACCGTTCGGAATTTGAACGGAAAATTCCAAACGGAAAAAATTGAATAAGTGAGTGGTCAGCCTTAATTGACTTACAATTTATCATCTTTTCTATTGATTTAATATGCGGTGTACCAAAATCTGTAAAAAACCGAAAATATCGGGCTTAAAAGTTTATTAGTTGAAAAAATGGGTTAACGACATTAACCTGTTATTATTTTTCATGAAAATAAATATTTTGTTTTTAATTTGCACTGTAAACCTGTATGCAAAATCGCGAAGACTATAGGACGCTCTCGATGGCGCAGTAATAACTAATAATTATGTTGACATTAACTAAACCTAACAGCCTCACTGGACGCAACTTATTTACCTATTGTGAAAACGGACAAACAACCATTAGTATATTGCAGCATGTAGTAATACACTAGCTATAACGCGGCCATTTTGAAACGGCCGCGCGTGCATGCGGAAATGCAAGCGGTGCACAGCATTTTTCAATGATCGGTTGATCAACTCGAGGCTCGGGCTTCTCGTAAACAAGGAATCGCCACAGCCGGCGTAGCCACCAACCGCGACGAACGTGGCGAAACGCACTCCATCGTATTCGGGATTCCAAACTCGAATTTGAGTGTTTTGGCGCGAATACACCCGTTGTGACAGTGACATATTCTTTTTTTTATAAATAATAAACAGTGTGTTGTTAATTGAGTGACATTAAAAACTTTTTGGTATTTGCGTATTGGATTTATTGAAATCGCTGGTGAGTTATTTGATTAAAAATATTAATAAGTTTGTTAAGTTATGCAAGTGTTTTCTCCTAATTTTTATGTAATGTATCGATTGTAATGACGTAGGGCGTTTCGTTCGTAAATGAAAAAGTAAAAGTTTGACGGCGTATTGTCAAATTGTCGGCGAGTTAGCGTACGGTAAGAAATCAAGGTGAGGAGAAAGTGGCTCGGTCGTGCCGGCGCAACCTGTGCGAAGATGATGCTTTTCTATAGGTACTTTATAGTGTACACATTACCCATTCAGTTCCGGGTTTGGGTGGGTGTTTTACATTTAAAAGTACCCACATATTTCACTAATAAAGAAAACTCACGCAAAGGCAACTACTGATTCTGCTTTCGGGAAACTTTAACTTTTGTCTTTAAACAAAAAACTACAGTTTTATTACTTAGTTTTGTAGAGAATGGCAGCAAAAAACTGCGTTATTAAGAATAAATCATAAGGTGTACCTACTTAGTCAAGATCATCATAAGTAAATAAATTAACTACAGTCTCACAAAGCTACAATTACTACGTTACGGGCTATAAATAAGGTATTTAAGTTTAAACGAGCAGCAGGTGAAAACTTAGAATCGAGGGACATGACCCTATAATAGAAACCAGTATATTTACATTTATCCGACAGTACCGTTGACCAACCGACTTTGGAAGTGACGTAATGGGCCTCTTCGAAGCTAAATGTAAACAAATAAGAGGTCACGAAGTTGAGAACGACGACGCACGCTAACACTGGCATGTTATAAAGGTTTTAAAAGAAAAACTTTTTGGTAATAAAACAAAAAGAAAAGCATTCTAAACTTACAATTTAGGGCACCAAAAAGGCATTAGTTTAATGTTGAAGCACATACTAGGCAAGCCCGTATCACAAAATGAAATAGAAAAGTTTTTTTACACAAAAAGCAAGCCACAATATAGACAACAAATTAAGGCCGAGATGCACCACCTTACTTTTAACCATAACTCTAAGCATAATCGGTGTTTTTACCCGACTGCGCCAGAAGAAGGTTATGCTTTTTGTTTGGAGTTTGACAGACTTTTGGCGTTTGCTGAGTTGAAATAAGATGGTGCAACCCAGTCTTATTCTGCTAGATTATTGGCTGTGATTCATGTCATTAATTTAATACTCGGAAATATGTCTTGATAGGTACTTGATGCCAGTTCTATAAAACAGTTTATGGGTCATAACCATAACCATCAAATATGACCTTGAGAGGATACCTGACGTACCTACACTCTGAGCGGTGGTAATTAAAGTTGTTGACAAACAAAACTATATATCATTGCATTATCTGCACCATCATAATTATCATCAGGTCTTTTAGTCTCAAGCTCAACTACAGAAACGATCCTCTAATTTGTCAGAGGCAAATGGAGCATACGGCCTACACTCCCCACATTGGCCAGTATCTATGTACTTCCTATGAGTAGCATGAATACAATGACGTAGTGTGGGCAAGCCATTCGGTGGACGGACGATCTAGTAAAGATTACAGGTAGCTCCTGGATGGGCAGCGCAAAACCGCCCTGGAAATCCTTAGAGGAGGCCTTTGTCTAGCATTGAATGAAACGAACGAAGCTGAAGTAGCAATGAGCAGGGCACATAGTACGCAGAACTGACGGCAGATGGGGCAAGGTTCTGGAGTGGAGGCGTATGACGTACCGGAAAACGCAGAGTAGGACGTCCACCCACAACAACCTCATGGAGGTAGTAGATAGGCGCTGGATGAAGGCCGCTACCAACTCAGCAATGTGGAACTCATGGGGTAGGCCTATGTTCAGCAGTGGACGTCCTGTGGCTCAATTGATTATGAACGAACGAAGTCGTGGGCAATGTAATCGAATAATAATCGTAATCGAACGCTTGTCGCATCGCATACAATCATCTCATCATAGCATCGTGATTATGACAATAAAGTCACCTTGTCAACTGGGCCAGTAATTGGCTATTACCCATATCTCATTTGCCTCATTAGCTATTCCATTGTTAGGTGTTGCATCGTCGGAACACGACCCTGCGTTGCTCGATAATAACAATAATAACCACCACGCTTAATGACCATCCGATAATGAAATCGGTAAATTAATTTAATGACATTATCTAATATGATTCATGCTATTCATTATCCTAGTATGTTATAGCGAAACCTGACAGTTTTATAATCGTTGATCGGAAATCAAGACCTTCAGTTGGTTCTTTGAAGACAGTATTGCCGGATGGGGCAATAAGTTCTAATAAATATTACAACTTCCTTCGACAAACTTCTACCAAAATGGGGAGAAAATGCTATTTTCGTCTTAAGATAAAACGAAAATTCTCATTTTCTCCCATTCAGGAGAAGCCGATCGAGAAAAGATGGGAATGTCCCTAGAATTTTGAAGCATGAAGAAAATTTGGAAGCACGCAAGAAAGAAGCGTTACTTTTTCCCGTTATGTTCATATTGGGGCTCATAAACTCACTAATAACTAGTCAAGTATTTACGTTAATTAATCAAGAAACAAATTAGTAATTAGTGACATATTATTTTTAAGTAATGTTCCGTTATTTCATTTTCAATGTCTACTTAATTGTATTACCTTTATTTGCGTCAGTTACTTATTTCATTTCACTCGTTAGGTTGACATGGTAGGCGGTAGTTGGTAGATTTGTGACACTGGAGAATCCCAATGGCAGATAAGGTTGCTGGATTGAATCTTGCCGGCGACAATGTTAATGTTTGAGCTCGAGAATTGATTGCCAGAGTTAATAGGTGTTTTCGTATTGGACGTAGGTCTGAGAGTACCAATTCATATGAACCTATTTAATCTTGATGTAGCAAAACATGTGGACTTATTTTATAGCTGTAACAACTGTATACCATGTTTTATGCAAATAAACAATTATTCTATTCTATTCTATTCTATTCTATGATTATCAGTTATCCAACTCTATGAGTTACTTAGGTATACTTTTGAAGTTTTGGTTCTATCTGTCAAACGCTCATAATGGCTGGATTTTGGATAGGATCTAGGAATCTTGTGATGCGTGTGTGAAATATGGGCAGACAACGTCACGCAGAATGTTCATAAGTGCCAAATCTTAATATAAATTGAACAAAAAATATCCCTGAAAAAGAAAACGATCGCATAGATGTCAGTATTGTCAGTTTCAGCTGTAAAAACGCAGCTATTCAGTCCAAACGGGCGCAAAATCCGGCCTGTTGCAATCCAGCTGAAATGGAAGTGATTCGGTTCAGTAACACAGCCGAAAGCATACATTACGAAAACGGCGAGTTTCCTCGATTAACCACGTTATTACAAGTTCTTACTAATCAACGACTGCACGTGAACGAGCGGACGGCATATACGCTCCACATACAGAACGAAACGGATCTGTGGACTAGTAAAGAATTGCATTTCGTTCGTTGTTTGTTGTGTGCGTAAGCGCAGCGTGTCGACGGCCTGCCTGATTGGCAGACGACCGTTAACAGCACTTGCAGGCTGACTTGAGTCTATTTATTTCATATCATTCTGGCAAAACATTACATTCAGCATATGTTACGTTAGGTACCCGTATTCTTCTTCTTCTTTGAGTGTCACAAGTGTCTGAAGACTTTTAGTGGTTTTATCAAACCAGCGAGCGATCACTGGATCTACTGTTTGCTTTGTATAATTTTTATCAGTTCATTCATTCTCAATGAATGGACTGAAAATATAAATCTGTGCATGTTAACGCGTTTACAGTTCATGAACATGACGTTACTGTCAGTCTGATTGACCATGCATTCTTTCTCTTTTGAATTGAATTATCCTAATACAACTACATAACATGACACTGTACAGCTTGATGTGACGTTGTTTGTACACTGCATTCAGAATTCACTGTAGATTCAACGAGTATAAATGCCATATACATATGTATTTCTAGTAGCAGGAAATGCTGCCAATTTCACTTGCGACCTGTTTTTAGGGATAGTTCAGTAGTTTTTGCTATGCGTTCAATGTCATTAAAATTAATGACGCCGTTGTCGTCGCTAATTGACTTTATTCATTAGCTTGTGACGTGTTAAAGATTATTATCATCAGAAATAAACAGTGTAAGGACATGTTAGCAACACTTAACCTTGCATATGAGTTGACGAAGCTGGTCGTAGCTTTTACTTAATAATTTTGTATTAACCTTCTTTAGCTAGGTACGCCCAAAGTAGCCAAAAGGTTTGCAACGCGTCTTTGTGACAATAATGTGTGTGATAAGGTTGTGCTATCAATTTTTTGGTCACTTTGAGTGTCATGGACTATTTGACGCTGACTGTATAATTCATTCCTACTACTGCGACTCCTGTGTACCTAGGATCTACTGCTTGACCGCTAGTAAAATCCCAACCAGTATAAGTAACAGAAACCAGAACAGAAGTTTCACTAAGTGATGTCTAATCATTCGGCAGATTTTCCATCGCGTCCCTCATAAGACCCATCTGTTAATCCCAACCACTAAGGCCCAGAACAGACGGTGTAACGCAACTGCAACGAAACTGCAACTGCTAGTTACTTTTGAGTTGCATCTAAGTTTCTGCCATAGCGTCCGTTGAGAGACCACACATGACGCGACCAGTTTGAAACTTTCAGTTTCAGTTTCATTCATAAGAATCATCAGAAAGTTGCAGTTTCGTTGCAGTTGCGTTTCACCGTCTGTTCTGGGTCTAAAGTAACAGCAACCATAGAAGTTTCACCAAGTGACCAAAGCGTACTTAGACTGCACCAAGCTCCTGTAGTAATTAGGACTAAAATAAGTTCCTCAAAACTGGCTGGAATGTCGAAAATGTCTAATCATTCGGCACAGCCGTTTTCCACCGCGTCCCACATAAGACCCGTCTGTTATGTAACGTTATGACTATCAGCCGACACCTTTCACTTGCCTGGTCCTTTTAATCGACGGACGTTGCCACATTTCTTTGCAGTATTGCTGCGAATGCTAAAACGGTATGTTAGGAGCTAAT